ATATATAGGAGTGTGCCTGGCCATCATGTTGTGAGGGCGCAAGTGCTGCATTTATTGCAATGTTCTCAGGCTTGCATGCGTTGCCACAAGTGGATCTGTGTAGCAAAGTAGATTGAGCACTGAAGACACTGAGCCATGGGGCCCCGCAAGAGACCCTCCATGAGCACATCAGGTGAAAGCAAGAGCAAGTCGGCCAAGGCTGAGGGTGTAAGCCTGCCTGATTCAGAAGGGCCCAACCCTGTACCAGTCGACCAGACTGAAGAGCCTGAAAAAGCAGGCAAGAGCCAGAATGAGGACCCAAGCCCGCTTGACCACGTGAAGTCTGAGTTGAGCAAGTCAGAGAGCTTGAACATGAAGCTGGAGTTGCTGAGGAGCAACACCGACTTGTCTGCAGAGGATAAGTTGCAGCTTTTGAACGACCACTTGACCTTGGGTGACTGGAACAAGCTCAATGGCAGGTTTTCCTCAGCCAGGAAAAAAAACAGTGAAATTGACAAGTTGGCTGCAAGCCAAGGGCAGAAAGCTCACAGGCACTTGGTTGGCTGCCTTGCCCCAACCATGACTGATGTCTGGCAAGAGTTAACCCACACTGTGAGGGGGAGCCAAAATCTCGAGAAGACTGATGAGTGGATCAGCTGGACCAAGATGTTGCAAGAATGGAGTGAGGAGGAGCTGACGATGCACATTCACAGTGGAAGAATCTCTGAAAGGGAGTGCCCAGACACACCTGGAGTTTGGGAATTCAAAGACAACAACAAGGTGAAGACAACCAAGGTGTTGGGCAGAGATAAGCAGCTCAGCAAATCTTCCAAGAGCCAGCTCAAGCCAGAGACCAAGGAGGACGATGATGATGACTGGGACAAGGCTTGGACTGCCTTTGGCTCAGCATCCAGCTTCAATGACATCCAGCTGTTTGGCACTGGTTCCAGCATTGCCAAGGGCAAGGGGAGCATGAAGGGTAAGACTTCCAAAGGCATTGGCAAGAAAGGAAAAGCAAACAAAGATGATGAGGAGCAGGTGACCAAGAAACAAATCCAGTGGCTGAAATCTGCTTTGTCCAAAGCCATCACTGTCGTGGGCTGCAAGGCATTTGAAACCACAGATGGTGACAAAAGAGGGCACGCAGCCAAAGCAAAGGGTGAGCTGGAAGAGATCCTCTCCAAAGTGTCCGACAAGGGCGATGTGTGGGAGCACAAGGAGTTCCAGGCCATTCAGCAGAATGCCAAAGAGAAGATTACCTTGTGCAAAGAAATATTTGGCTGAGAGGCTAGGATAGCAGCTGGAGTAGAAATGCTGCGCACCAGAGACCGATCTGACTGAGAAAACAATGGCGTCTGTGCCAGCTGCATAGATTGCTGGCACGCATGTTGAGGATCTGGTTTGCCAGCAAATATTTGGCTCAAGCAAAGGGCAAGGTTAGCAGCATGCTGTCAGTTGAAGAACTTGCCTTGCTGGCAGATTATAAGATTTGCCTGTCCTGTTGGCTGTGCCAACTGGAGCCATACCTGCCAAGGAGTTCATGCAAGCAGCCTTGCTCATGCATGTGTTTTCATGAATGTGTTTTCTTTGCATGCAGGACTGAGTACTTGAAGCTGTGGCAGATTTGCAAAGACTGTCGGTGTGAATTCGATGAAGCTGAGCCTCCAGAATTGAGTTTAGCATCAGTTGGTGTAATTCGACTGCAGACCATTGCAAAGGAGCCGACAGATGACCCAGAGATGCAATAGCCAAGGTGCAGCAAAGGAAAAAGTGCAGGTTGTGAATCTGTTGCGCTGCAGAAGTGCATTCCAGCTTATAGCTAGTATAGGATCATGCTGCAGCCGATAAGCATCATGCCTGGGTACAAGCAAAGCCTGGGGTGCTTGCGCGACCCCAAAGCAGCCAACACAGATTCAGAATCAGTGTTGCAGACTCACTTGCTTTGGCTGTGGACTCTTGGTGACATCTCTGCCATTGCTTGCCAGAAAATAGCACACAGTGCTTTTCTGGATGGGCTGAAGCACCCTGCCGTGGCCAAGGTGGCCAGCTGTGGCTCCTGGGGACAACACCCCAACAATGTGTCCAGGGATTTGGAGAGGATGGTGGTTTCAGAAAGCAAGGCATCCTTTGCAGAGCCCACTATCATCAAGGATTGCCCTTGCTCCAACCCCAGGACAAGTGAGGAAGAGACCACTGACGTTGCTTTTTTTGACCCTTGCAACACTGTGGCAGCATTGCAGGAGAGCCCAGAGCATTTCCAGAGCATTTTCCAACCAGATGGCCTACTAGAGTTTTGGAACAATGTTAGGCCTGATGACCCCAGGCTTACCATACTCATGCAGGAATCCAGCTTAAAGCATGAGGACCTACCAGCAACAGTCCCACTCTGGGTTCATGGAGATGGTGTGGAGTATGCCGATGGCAAAACTATGATGGTGTATTCCTGGGGCTCTGTCTTGAATTCAGGCCCATCATTGAGCTCATCTCTCTTGCTGCTGGCCTTTCCCAAAGATTGTGCAGTGAGTGCAACCTGGGAGACACTGTGGTCACATATTGTTCCTTCATTTTCTAAGCTGCAGGCAGGAAAGACTGACATTGTTCACAATTACAGGTTTACAATCTGGCAGGTCATGGGTGACCAAGAATTTTTTGCCAATGTCCTGAAGCTGCCACATTGGATGAACGCACAGCCCTGCTGGGAGTGTAAGATGACTGGCCCTCAGCAGCAGAGCAACCTGGACAAAGACATTGAAGGCTGGAGGCTACCTCAAGAAGAAATGAATTGCAGGATCTCAGCACACCCACTCTTTACCATTCATGGAGTATCCCATTTCAATATTGCACAGGATGCAATGCACATCCTGTTTTGCAAAGGTGTTCTTTCTCATTGTATGGGCAATGCGTTGAAGTTTTGGTGCTACACTTGCAAGGCTGTGCCAGGAAGAAGCATAAGGGACAAAGTCAAACATATTTGGCAAAAAATACAGTCGCTCTACAAGGACTTTGAAGTGGACTGCAGGCTGCCCACATTGAAGCTATCCATGTTCACCAGCCCCGACAAGCCTCATCAGACCCAGCCTTTCCTTAGGGCAAAAGCTGGGGAATGCAAAGCATTGGTGCATCTGTTTGCACAACTGGCAGTGGAGTTCCATGAAGGAGATGAAGTCTCCTCCAAGATCCTGGCTATCTTTGAAGACATGGCAGCTTTTGTAGATTTGATGGATGCAGCTCCCAGGTTTCCAAGTGAGCAAGAGGCCTGCCAGGCAGCCTTTCTGATGACTTCCTTTTTGGGGCATTACAAGTGGCTGCAGCTGCACAGGTCCAATGACTTCACCTGGCACACAGTGATCAAATTTCACATGGCCAAGCATTTGGCCCTTGCTTTCAGGTTTGGCAATCCCAGACACGCATGGTGCTTTAAGGCTGAAGACTATGTGGGCAGAATCAGCAAGCTTGCACACTCAGCATCGTTTGGCACAACAGCCACTTTGCTTTCTGTTAAGATCTTGAAAAAGTATCGGCTGATGATGTATGTCAGGTTCTGGAAGGGGCTGCTGTGACACAGAACGTTAACATATTTCGCCAGGCAAAAAAAGAAGTGGTGTGCTGCATGTGCCCTGCAGAAGGGCAAATGAGATCCTTAAGTTCTTGGACATGTCAAGTTTTTGTGCAAAAAAGATTGATATTTTGCAAAAAAAGATTGATATTTTTATATATTTTCTCAGGAAAAGATTGATCTTCCTTGATGTGATTGGGAACACAAAAAACAGCTATAAAATGCAAAGATTGATCTCCAAAAAGATTGATATTTTTTTATAGGAAAAGATTGATTTTTTTTGATCCTGGATCCTCTGGGTTGCACGGTCACTGTAGAACTCCTCAATCTTGACCGTGCCCAAGCTGCTTCTGGGTCGATCACCTCCTGCAGCAGCTCGCCTTCTCAGATACGACTTGATCTCCGAGGTTCCGGCCGTTGAGCTGGACTCTTCATCTTCATCTTCGCCGCCATCACCTTCTCTCCATGGCGGCTTGCCGGACTTCTTCTTGGCTCTCCGGCGTCGCTGCTCGTCTTCAGACTCATGGTCTTCATCATCACCGCCATCATCTCCTCCTCCGCCGGATCCTCCAGGGCCAGGAGGCGGTGGCGGTGGATTCTTCGCGGCTTGGCCTGGGTGGGCTTACCTCTGCTCTCCGGATTGCCTCTGGTGTCTCGTTCACGGTCTCCTGAAGGCCTCCGTTCAGCTCCTTCAGTGGGTTGCCCTCGTCCATGAGATGGCCCAGCCGATGAAGAGCTCGCCTCTTGATGGCGTTGCTGCTGCCAGAGGTTGTAGAGCCACTTCACAAACTCTGGCGGTGGCGCATCACCATCAGATGCTCCCGCGGCATGGCCAGGGCCTTGAGCTCCAGGGCGATCTCCTCCATCGGCTTGTCCACCTCCAGAAGCCCATGGGTCGTTCCCCTGCAGAGGATCCTCCTCCTGGCCATTCGCCGCTCCAGCTGCCGCTGCAGCTTCTCCGGCATCATCTGCCGGCTCGGACCCCTCCAGGTCCTCATCGTCGCCGGGCACCGGCGAGGCTTCTGCGCGCGCTGCGCGCTGGGTGCGAGTTGCCATCCGGGGCAGAGCAGCCTAAACCACAACAGCCCCAAACAACCCCTCAAAACCCGCTCCGCTACCAATGTGGGAGCGGCCCCAAAAGAACCAACCCCCAGAACAGAAGTTGCCCCGATTAGGGGGACTTAAGCGCAAAGCAGGCAGCAACCTTTCTTGCATGCTAAGATCTGTGCACAGCTGCGGTTTGTCAACAGCATGCCATGCCGCTTGCAACTCACAAGTGTAAGGATCTCGACACGGCGCTTTGAAAATTCCTCAAAACCAGTTGGATCACTTTGGTTGCAAGAACACAACGATGAAGCCCATCCAAAACTCTAAGCGGACCCTGCAAGGGTTTGCAGGTGAGGAGCGCCAAAGGTACACATGGACATGTCAAGACCTTGCAAAACGTCACACATCGAGCCCACGCCTGGCGGCTTCCAAAGGATGCCGGCCTTGGGCTCTTCCGCTCCAGGCACCTGTTTTGCACGCCTTCGAGCTTTCAGCTCGGGCGCCGGACCCAGCTCGGATATTTTTTGGTTTGATTTCGGCGGTCAACCAACCAAATTCATCGGATGTGATCCTCCCAAAATTGCCCCCTCCCACAAAGGCCCCCACAAAGGCCCCCAATGCCAAGAACAGTAGCAACAAGAGAGAACGAGATATGAGGCATGGTCCAAACATGCCCAGACGTATCGCCCGGGTCTCAACATGTCTCAATGCTGTGGAGCCACACCATGACCATTAAAACAGCTGAACCGAAACAAGCTTCGAGCTTCTTGCCTGCAGGGCAGCACGCAGCACAGCACGAAACCGGCCAAGCCATAGGCGCGGGGCAGCCTGGCAGATCAAAGGAGTCAAAGGAGTCAAAGGAGTCAAAGGAGTCAAAGAAGTCAACGACCGCAAAAGCACAGCGTCACGTCACTGCTGTGGGTATCAGCGATCCGCTTGTGGAGCCTGTCGCGCTTGAGCCAATGAGCCAAGCCATGTTCTCTCAAGCGGAATGCCTGCTGCAAAGCTGCGCTATCCATCGGCGCAGTCTCATCAAGGACGGATACTGTAGCGGTGCAAAAAAGGAAGGCTTGGCCTGATCCATTTGCTTTGCATTCATGGAGAGTTGGGGAGCTGGTTATTGACCTCTGGTCTGTGTGTTTCATTGGGTTTCTGGTCAAACAGGCTCTCCTTGCCTACGCCTCAATTTTAACATTATACTTAAAGAATTGCTTGATTTTGTGCCAAGTCTGCAGGGCATTCTGCTCTGCCACTCGACGACTGAAAGCCAACAATCGAGTCCCTGGAAAGGACAGAGTCTCCTCTGCCCTAAGATAAACCATCTGCGGATGTTTGCTTCGCGATACGTGTCGCGGGCGAGCAAAGCTGCCAGCAACCTCATACTTTGCTGTAAATGCAACCTAAAATCTGGAGTCATCTGTAGGTTGTGTCGTGTTCAGATTGACTCGAGGTTGGTCGAACAGAGACCTCCGCTTTGCATTGCGCACCTTGTGGATTCCTTTTAAATTCTCTCACAAGGCAAGACCACTACAGCCCAAGCTTACTACAGCCCAAGCTTGAGCAACGCCGCTCCATCAAGATTGGGAAACAAAGTAGCAAGGATACGGAGGAACAGGGATGTCCGAGGATTCCCTGTAAAGGACACCATGTCTAAATATTACTCGAACAATATCATCCCTGCTTTCCCCGCATCCCTGCTTGTTTGCTTGTCTGACAAGAAGCCAAAACCAGACTTCCACTCTCGCTTCCGCGCTTCTCTGACTGGACCCCCAACCCGGCGCTCTTTTGTGTCATCAAGCATCCACCTTCTCCTCTGCCTTGGCTCCCTCTTTGCCCAACACTGAGTCGGGATCTGTCAGCATTCGCCTGGCAAGACAGTGTTCGGGCACGTCCGCACCAGGGGCCGCACGAAAAGCACTACAGCACTCGGGCACAAAGGAACACCAAGGATGCTCAAGTGCGACAGCGGAGGTCTAAACATGTCGGATTCACTGCATGTAATCGACGACCTCTATCTGGGCCTTGGCTCAAGAATTCAGCACCCTACACCCATCTTGACAAGCCGAAGCAGTCTTTCCTTTGGCAAAAGCCGACCATTGGCTGTCGCTCTCGCTACAAAATCAATTCGAAGGAAGGGCGACGGCTGGTGGCAGTTGGTCGGCGTTGGCTCGCATCTCCTGCAGCCTTGGAAGGCGCGTGTCTAGGGCTTCCAAGCGTCTGCCATTCTCCAGCAGGGCTTCCCCTTGATCCTATTCAATCTCGTTCAATTTCTGGCTCAGATCGTGGAGGCTATGAGGCTCCCCGCATCGTCTCCAGATTGATTCCCATCATGGCATAGGTCTCCTGAGCAGGCCAGTAGCAGCGAAGGACATCGAATCTCCCGACACTGCCCATACGCTCCTTCATTTGCTTCACATCTTCCCGCGTCCAGCCTGAGCTTCTTCCCACGAAACAACACTTCGGAGCTTGTTCACTTTGAGCGCATGACCTTGCTCTTGCGAAGCTGCCTGTCACAGAAGCAGGGAACTGCAGTGCCGACGGTGTGGTCGGCTGCGGCAAAACAAGATGCCGAACACTGCTGATATGGAGTACTGCACTCATTGAAGCGACACTCTCAACTTCTCCGTCCAACGGACGTGAGCCCAACCCGAATGGGGAGAACCCTCCCAAAACATGTTTTGCAAACCAAGCCTTCAGCTCCTTCAAGAAGAGCTCCGGCTTGTCCGAGAAAGCGGCCAGGGCTGGACAGCATTTGAGGCTTTCTCAAACCCAGCTGCATGTAGGCCCTCACTAGAACTCCTACGAAACCAGGGAGAAGAACGAACTTTGGCCACCAGTTCGGGCTTGGCTCATGTGAAACGGCCTTCGTCTGTGCAGTGCCAACGTGAAGTGCGGTGCCACGGACTCCCAACTCCCCAACTTCCCAACTTCCCAACTCCCCCGAAAAGAGCTTCTTGGGCTTCTTGGCTTCTTGGCTTCTTGCGTTCTTCGGGGAATCTGATCTGAGATGGCGGACTCTGCATGAAGTTGGGATCCTGCTGCGCGCTCTCGAAGAGCTTCATGGCCTGGCTCAAAGAGCTCTCGGCTCAAGCTCTCGGCTCTCGTTCTGCATTCTGCCACGGCCTCGCGCTGTCTTTCCGTAAAACGGTCTGGATCCACGTCCTGCGGATCGGCCCACGGATTTCGCGGCTTGACAGAAGCCAATTCTATGTTACCTTCTGTTGGCGGGCCCATGACGGATTGGTGGGCGAAGAAGGACCTAATCTGTTGTTCTTGAGGCCCTTCAAATATTTGATAACATAGCTGTACCATCACACTCGACCGCTGCACGTGTCCATTTAGAATCTAAAATGCTCACACATGGTCACATTGATGATACTAATGTGGCCTGCACTTCGGTACCCTCTCCACATTTGCTGCTTCCTCCAAATCCACCTCCGGAGGCGATCGCGCCGCCTGAGGCTCTGCTCGGCCTCGGATTGGCCCTACCCTGCCTGCCACATGAGGTCGGACACTGAGCTTCTTTCAGGCGCTTGTTCTTTGTAAGCCGAATGTGTCAGAAAGCTTGTTTGTTGTTGGGCCCATGCTTCAAGCCAAGCTGACACGCAAAGCGCAAGACCAACAAGGCCGATGTAGACTTCGCCGGCCAGTTCCTGGGTGACCGCAACAGGAACCAAATTGGGGGGGGGTCGGGGTGAGGATGGTTCCAAATGTGAAGGACTGAGGCTGGGACATCCTCCAGCAATTCAAATTCGCTGCAGGCCTACCCAGATTCACGCGCTGTGCCCGCCATGTCTGACGCCAAATAGCTCAAAGCCAATTCTCTGGAAGCCTACCAGCTCGATTCTCAGATCGATTGGGCCCGTCAGAAACTATTCTGCTGTCGAGGAGTCTATCCGAGTCTGCCTGTGCCCAGGCAAGCTGATCACCCAGCGTCAAGAGCCCAGATCTTGCAAATGTCTCCTGTCGCACGTAAATTCACCCCTTTGGAATCTGCTGCTGTATCCAGCCGCTACAAGAGTCGAGCGGCAAACATAGCAAGGGACCCACCAAGCAAATGCTGACCATGCATGCGCTTGCTGGAGCATGTCCTTGAGCTCGGAAAATGACGCTAGGGCCAACTCCCCCAGACCTGAAGGGCAAGGGCAAGCTGCGCAACTTTCACATCGCCGGATCGCCGGCCGGGCCTTCCCTAGCCTCCAAGATCTGTTTCACGTTCAGCGACAGCCTGGGACCCATTGGCCAAAATCGCAAATCGCCATCCGTTGCTTTCCCTGTTGGTTTCTTTCTGTGGTGAAGCCGCGCCTCGCCAGGTTCATGCTGCGGGCAGCGGCGCCCTTGTCCAGGGCCACGCCTGGCAAGGAGTAGCTTTCCTTGACAGAGGCAAAGCAATAGACTCCCGAAAGTGAAACAAGAACAACAACAAAAACACGACCATGGACCATGGCAAAGTCTTCAAACACGAGCAGCAGTTCTCTGAAGCCTCGAGCTTCCTTCTCCAGCTTGTAGCCCTCGGACTTCTTAATCTGTGCCCTCGGCGGTCAGGGCGATTCTGAATTTCAGCTGAGCATTGGGAGACCGACACTTGCTTCCGTCGCGTCTCGCGGTTGGGGATCAGGCCCTGAGCGTGCGGTGAAATGAAATCAGCCCTTGATTCTGTGAGATCCTTTTCCGTTCCTTGCCATTTCCATTGAAGCCACTGCAATCCAGCCTTCACGCGCTCACGAGACATGGGGGTCCTGAGCGGAATTGCAAGAATCAGATGACAGCGCAGAGCGAAGTTGCATGCCGAGCGTCAGCTTCCGCGGCTGGAAGAGGAATACGTTGTACAACGCATTCCGCCTGCATCATTTCCAGCTGGCAAGTGGTCACCCTGGTCCCTTTTCACTTTTGCCTCAAACCGTCTGGCAGCTATCCTAGGACTGTGGGGATAGACTCACGGGCAGGTTCGGCCTGATCTTGGACATCATCTTCAGGAACACTTGGTAGCCCTGCGCAAACATCTGACAATCCCACAAACAAACAAAGACAACTGCAGCCAAGCCAACCCCAAGTGATGCAAGGCAAAGCAGTGAAATGTCAGACGAGCGGGATCGTCCTCCAACTTGTATTCTGTGAGGGGGTTCTTCTGACCTCAAAGCCATACCCATCAAGCGATGGAGGCGGCGATTGGCGGGAAACGCAGTTCGCAGTGCAGCCCAGGATTGGCGCACGACCCAGGCAAACATTAAATGTGAACTGCAGGAATTCCTACGCGAGTGAAATCGGATCGCGAGAGAAGGTGATGGACATTCCGAACAGGACCCTCGCTGGATCTTGTAGGGAAGTGCAGTGCACATGAAACTTCGACCTGAACCGGAGTGAGGGAATGGAACACCTCTACACAGGCCCCCAAACGGTATCCCGCTTGAGTGCTCCCCACGATGGGCTTGTTGGCCGCCAGGCAGTTGCTCTACGCCGCACGAGCGCCCGGGCCGTAGGCCCGCAGTGTCATGCCAGTCCTTACACGTGCACTGTAGCCTCTCAAGTCGGCGAGGGAAGTTGGAAGTGATGCGCTTATCGCGTCCGACTCCAGGCCCGAGGCTTCATGAAGTCCATATTCTTGAGATGCTGCTGCCAAAAAGAGTCCAGCCTTGGCTCAAGTCGGCTCACCCCGACCCCCCCCCCCCCCCGGCAACTCCCTCTCCCTCTGTCTCTGTCTCTCGGTATCTGTCTCTCTCCTTCCCCCCCTCTCTCCACTCGTCTCTCTCACCTCTCACGGGCTCCTGGCTGCATGAGCAACACCTCGGGGCACGGGAGAAGGCGCTTGCAAGCCAGCCCAGCAGCCCAGCCCATGCGCACGAAAAGAAACCCAAGGAATGCTCTCTTTACGAGATCAACTTGTATTGAAAGTAAACGCGCAACAAAACCTGCGTCAAACAATAGGCAGTTGCAGGTGAAGTTATCATCACTTGGCCAACATTTCTCTCATAATGTGGCGCCGGTAGCTCGCTAGCTCAAATCCCGCAGCCTCAAGTACTTCAACCTCCACTTGCCTTCCGAGTCTGGCTGATTTAGGGACGCCTTTTGGGCGTCTTTCACGAAATTCTGCGCTGAGCTGCGCGGTTTCCTCACGGCCCATGGCCGCATGGCCCGCTCCCAAGACTCCCGAGCCTGTCGCGTCACCATGGCAGTGAGGCCGGGCCTGAGACACGGAGAAATTCAGCAGAGAAAATGAATTTGAAAATATATGCATGTATATATATATATATATATTATATATATAAATGGGATGTTTGGATGTCTGGATGATTCTTGCTGAATTTCAATATCGCCGAGACCAAGATGCATTGCATGCTCTGCAGGCTTGGAGCTTCCCGCCCAGCAGATTCGATCTGCTCAAGCTTCCTGTAGAAGGATTTCTGCCTGGCACGAGAACACCACCTCTTCATGGGACAATCTCTATCTCTCAATGGACCCGCATTTGGCACTCAATTGAAATCACTCAACCTCCCAACCTCAGTCCAACCGATCAGGATCACTCAGGCCCTGGCCCCTCTTCTTGAAGGAAGGCCGTCACGGCAGCAGCCTCAACTGCAGCCCAAAGGCTAGCTGCTGGCTGCGCTGGCTCTTGGAAATAATGATGGCGCAAGGTGTAAGGCTTCAGCAGGAAATGATGGTCGCTTGTTGACTTGTGGCCTTGTGTGTCTTTCCTGTTTTGGTTCCTTTTCGGGACGGCACCTGGACTCAATGACCACTTCGAGTGTCTGGGCGTCCAGCGCCAGACGGGCCGCCATTTGCAGCCTTCTCCTGCAGAGCCTCGGGCCTCGTTGTTCGTCCAGGAAGTTCAGTCGATTGAAGCGAGTCTGGTTCAGTTTGGTTCAATTTTCAAATTTTCACACCACCTCTCTCCTCGCACCACGAGCCTCTTGTCTCGTACGCTCTGTACATCTGTACAATGTACAAGGAGGCCATGTTCGACAGCCGGAGCCTCTGCACACAATGCAGGCCCAGCCGTCACTGGCAATGCTTGGACTGCAATGGCACATAGCACGAGTTTCGGTCATAGCTGACTCCGGACGCGCAGCGACTCCAGCTATCGGGAAAAGCCTTGCCATGCCTTGCCACCATGCCCTCTAGAAGGGCTGGTAAACAGTAAAGAGATCTACTGCAACTCAGGACCTTGCCTCGCGGTGATCTTGACATTGACAGTCATGTGCTGCCAGCAACACATCAACATGTAGACGCAGGATGCCGACGACATCCCCTTGTTGAGGCCACATCGAGTTCTTTCAACCAATCTCACCCACCCTTCACACGGACACCACGCGCGGCGACTCTGCTAAAGCGCATGCACCCCCGCCGGTCTATCTTCTCTTGCCGCAAGTACTTCATCTTCTTGTCCCTCACCTGCCAAGCCAAAATGTTCTCCGACCATCCAATCAATACCCCTTCTTGGAGACAGCTCTTGGGACTGTGTGCTGGGATTGAGACTGATAATCCAATAATCTAGATGCATGAGCCATGCCTTGTCCTCAAACACGCGCTTCTGCCGGATCTCATAATGGTAGTCGGAGGGCTGCAGCGGCAGGAATCCAAGTTGGCCTTGGATCCGTGGGTTCGGATCGGAGGCCGGCAATCAAACTGAGCGCACCTGTTTGCACGTGGTAGACTTTGCTCTTTCCTGCGGAAAAGGACAGCACCAGACAGTATCAACACGTAGTCCACCCCAAACTCCTCCCCAGCTTGCAAGTACCTGCCTTCTGGCTCCAAGAGCTCCATTAACAAGGCAACAACAGCAGCATTTAGCATTGAGCTTTGTTCAGACTGTCAGAAACGCTATGGCCGCTATGGAATGCCCTTGTATGCCCTTCGGCACGGCCTGCGTCCAGCAGGCCCATGGTGGGCCCCTGCTGGTTGGGGTTCCACGTCGCCGAGGCCGACGCCGCCTGCGCCGGCGGCGCCCACTGGCCCAGCACAGCGTTGGCGCCTGCGAGTCGAGTCGAGCGATGGAACCGAGTTCCACAGAGCTGATCATTTGACAAAAGAAACCGCACGTCGACCGAGTCAGAACTCCTTGGGTCGCAGGAGCAGGTGCACGCCTGGGGCTTCAACCATCCTATGGATGAAACCCGCTTGTGTTTTGGAGCCCTGCAATCCAGCTTGTTTCGTGTGTGAACTACGACTATCTCTGAGGGTGTGGCAAGTAACGGTTTCGGAAGCTGTTGGCGGATACCTGGCACGTAGGGGAAGCAACCTTCAGCTTGCCATCCCTGCACAAGAGTCTGAAACCTCCCTCTGACAATACAACGCTAAAGAAATAGCTGAAGGAAATAGTTGCAAGTTTGCGACTTGGAGTCCTAAAGGGGAAGTCTACGTCCAGATCCGGCCTGCCAGAGTGGCACCACTCTACTCTCATCAAAGACCACCACAGCATCCCCCACGTGCCTTGGACAGAAGTGCGAACGCAACAAGTGCGACATGCACCGCGCACGAGTGAGGAGCATGCTTCACGACTCTGGACTCTGCCTTCACCGAAAAGTTGCCACAGGTCCTGGCCGGTGGAAACAACATATACTATCTCTCTCTCTCTCTCTCTCTCTCCCTCCCTCCCTCTCTCCCTCCCTCTCCCTCTCCCTTGAGTACCTTGTAGTGACTACATGACTGCACGGTTGAAGTGCAGTGAGGCTCGCTTTTCCGTATGACTCAAAGCAAGAAAAACAAACAGTGCAACGTGTGACGTTTTTCCGCGTATTAGGGTGGGGTCCTAGTTTCGCTGCCTCAAAGGAGGGAGAGAGAGAGAGAGAGAGAGAGAGAGAGAGAGAGAGAGAGAGAGAGAGAGAGAGAGAGAGAGAGAGAGAGAGAGAGAGAGGGGAGAGAGAGAGAGACGTTAAATTTAGTTGGTACTTTTGCTTACAAGTGCAAGCGCTGTAGTGTTCAAACAAACAGTCAACCAATGTAGTCTGCAGCTGCCAACCTTTCACTCATGCGGAGTAGTAAGCTCAAGGCCTGCGGTAGTGAACATACATGCAACACATATGCAGGAAGTGAAGCAGTAGCCGACACGGCCCCTCAGTTAAAAGGTCTCTGTAGTACCTTTTGAACTGAAGTGCAAAACATGGATTGACAGTAGTGATGAAAACCATTGTTGTTCATCAATGCTACTGTTTTGGCAAAAGTAGTGACCTGCGCTCAGTAGTTCACGCTGTTCAGGTTCCAGCTCGATGTAGGGCGCTGGATGGAAGCAGTGAGGCAGGCACTTGTTGTAGTGGAGCATGAGCTCAAAGATGTAGTCGCCATTTCTGGGCGCGATAGTCTTGGACCATCTGGAGTCTGTTGTCCAAGGTCGCGTAGAAATGTATGGTGAAAAATGTTGTCATGTAGTTTGGAGCTCCCCGTCGTCGCTCGTCGTCTATCTCAGGGCACGACATGTGTTGGTCGTACTCCCTGAGAAAGCGGTGTAGTAGTGCTTTGTGATGTTGAGTGAGGTTTGTCATGGTGAGTAGTGTGAATCCGTAGTACTGTACACTCTTGCAGAGGATGGTAGTAATTGCCTTGTGCTGGAAGTCGTGTAGTTCGTCTCTGTTGTAAAGGTAGTGGAGTAGTTCAGGTAGTAGTAGGGGCATGTGGTAGTTCCAAAGGTAGTTGTTCCTGAGGCTGTAGTTTTCAGTGAAGGTGGTCATGTTGTAGTTCACCTTGTAGATGGTCTGTGGAATTGGTGTAGTCGGGAGGTAGTAGTTCTGTTGTATGGACATCATGTAGGAGATGTAGTCCCTTGTGAAGTGTAGAAACTGTCCTGAAGTGAGGTACCTCAGGAGTAGTGGTTGTTCAATCTGGAGTTGGATGATGATGTGGTGGGTGTTGTCGCTGGTTGTAGTGTGGAGTGAAGTCGTGTGGTAGTAGTGGACGTTGGCTGCTTCAGGTAGTGAATGGGTCGCGTGTAGTCCAGTTGTGCCAGTGGAGTTGCTTGTTGTTGTGAGAGTAGTTGATACTCTTCAAGTGTGAGTGCAGTGAAAAACTGAGTGTAGGGTGTGTCGGGCAATGGTGGTGTAGTGGTTGTCTGGTGCTCAGTGATGGGGACACATTTTTTTGGACCCCCGGCGCCTTTTTCTTGACCCCCCTACGTTTTTTTGACCCCACACTTGTTTTTCCTGACCCCTTTCATTGTTTTTTTGACCCCTGCCATTGCTTTTCTGACCCCCCCCCCTTCCCCTTCCCCAAGCGGGGTGGGGGGCCGATGAACCTTTCAAGCCCCAGCAAGAGCTCGGCACTGGGGAATTCCGGGGGAGGGAGGGCTCAGCAGCTAATGAAGAGTGCCGCGTGAGACAAACTTGAACACAAATACGCACGCATACCTGCAACACACACACAGTCGCACGCACACACACAGACACGAAGATAAAAGAAGTTCCTCCAGTGTGCTTTAATCCTTTACACATTCCAAAAATTAGCGGGGGGGTTCGGGGGGGGCGGCAGCCCCCCCCCAGGATGTTCGAAGAAGTGATGATTCAAGAAGCGATGTTCGAAGAAGTGATGATTCAAGAACCCTTCTAACCGTCCCTGCAGCCCCCCCCCCATGATGTTCGAAGAAGTGATGCTTCAAGAAGGGATCACTCAAGAAAGTGTGCTTTAATCCTTTAAACAGTCCACGGGGGGGTCGGGGGGGGCGGCAGCCCCCCCATGATGTTCAAAGAATTGATGATTCAAGAAGGGATCACTCAAGAAAGTGTGCTTTAAACCTTTAAACATTCGAAAAAATAGCGGGGGGGCTGGGGAGGGGGGCGGCAGCCCCCCCCATGATGTTCGAAGAAGTGATGATTCAAGAAGGGATCACTCAAGAAAGTGGCAGCCCCCCCCATGATGTTCGAAGAAGTGATGATTCAAGAAGGGATCACTCAAGAAAGTGTGCTTTCATCCTGTAAACATTCCAAAAATTAGCGGGGGGGTTGGGGGGGGCGGCAGCCCCCCCCATGATGTTTTGACCGTCCTTCGTTTTTCGAAGAAGAACCCTTCTACCCGTCCCTGCAGCCCCCCCCCCTGATGTTCGAAGAAGTGACGATTCAAGAAGGGAGCACTCAAGAAAGTGTGCTTTAATCCGTTAAACATTCAAAACAATAAGCGGGGGGGTTGGGGGGGCGGCAGCCCCCCCTATGATGTTCGAAGAAGTGATGCTTCAAGAAGGGATCACTCAAGAAAGTGTGCTTTACTCCTTTAAACATTCGAAAATTAGCGGGGGTTTGGGGGGGAGCGAGGGGGTTGGGGGGGGGCGGCAGGCCCCCCCATGATGTTCGAAGATGTGATGATTCAAGAAGGGATCACTCAAGAAAGTGTGCTTTCATCCTTTAAACATTCCAAAAATTCGCGGGGGGGTTGGGGGGGGGCGGCAGCCCCCCCCATGATGTTCGAAGAAGTGATGATTCAACAAGGGATCACTCAACAAAGTGTGCTCTAATTCCTTAAACACTCCAAAAATTAGGCGGGGGGTTGGGGGGGCGGCAGCCCCCCCATGATGTTCGAAGAAGTGATGATTCAGGAAGGGATCACTCAAGAAAGTGGCAGCCCCCCCCATGATGTTCGAAGAAGTGATGATTCAAGAAGGGATCACTCAAGAAAGTGTGCTGTAATCCTTTAAACATTCCAAAAATTAGCGGGGGGGGTTGGGGGGGGGCGGCAGCCCCCCCCATGATGTTTTGACCCCCCTCGCCCGTCCTTCGTTTTTACAGGAAGAACCCTTCTACCCGTCCCTGCAGCCCCCCCCCCCATGATGTTCGAAGAAGTGATGATTCAAGAAGGGAGCACTCAAGAAAGTGTGCTTTTATCCTTTAAACATTCCAAAAAGCAGCGGGGGGGTTTAGCGGGGGGGGGTTGCGGGGGGGGCGCACACACACACAGGCACACACACACACACACCCGAAGATACAAGAAGTTCCCAGAGTCGCGGGGGGGGTAGCGGGGGGGTTGGGGGGGGCGCAGCCCCCCCCACAGTGTATCCACAACACTACCCAAGCTCAGCCCCTAATGACGAGTGACGCGCGAACCTCAGCAGCTACTGAAGAGTGCGCAGGGAGCAGGGGACCAAGGGACCTCGGGGCCAGGGACCAACTTTTTTGGAATTGGATGTGTTTTTGGATCCCCAAAATATGTTTGATGCCTATCCCGAAATCCATGCAATATTGATTGTACGCAACTATCCATGTACCACAATATGTCCAGAACCGAGCTTCTTGCCAACAAACCGTGTGGCCAGCACCTGGCAATGAGATAGATAAAACCCGCCGACATTCACCGACAGCGGAGGCGCGCGAGAGAGCAAAGCTTCACAAGCCAGGGGAAGCGCCCGAGCCAGCAGAGTCTTACGCATGTCCACTCACAAACCAGCCCGTGAGTCTGTCAAGCAAGGGGAGGCGCCCGAGACACCAGAGCCTCACGCATTGTCACCCGCGCAGCAACCTGAAAGCCTGTCAAATGAGGGGAGGCGCCTGAAACATCAGCGCCGCACGCACGTCTACTCACATACCGACCCGTGGATCTGCCAAGTCAGGGGAGCCGCCCGAGACACCAGAGCCTCGCACATTTCCACCCGCGCGCCGACTGGAAAGCCTGTCAAGGGAGGGGGCTGCCCAAGACAGCGTACCCTCACGCATGTCCACTCCCATACCAGCCCGTGAGCCTGTCAAGCAAGGGGAGGCGCCCGAGACACCAGAGCCTCGCGCATTTGCACCCGCACGCCGACCTGAAGGCCTGCCAAGTGAGGGGAGGCTGCCCAAGCCAGCAAAGCCTCACGCATGTACACTCACATACCAGTCCGTGAGTCAGGCGAGGGGAGGCGCCTTTACACCAAAACATGCGTTTGTCAAGACAAGCACCCGAAACAGCAGAGTCTCACACAGGCAAGAGGAAGCGCCCAAGACAGCAGCCAGGCTGCTTTGGGTTTGTTAACTAGAACATCCGCTTGCATGGACGGCTTGTCGCGGTGCTTCAAAACTTGCTTACTGCGTGGGAGCGACCCCTCCTTTTTCGCCGCTCAAGATCGTCCAGCCTGGCTACCTAGTGGGAGACACAATCTCACTTCACTGCTAGCGTCGCAGCACTCTGGCGCATCACCGTTTGAGATTCTTGGCTTTTGGCGCTGCCTTAGCCCTTTTGGCAGTCTGGGCTTCGGCCGCCTCACTTTTGCGTTTGCGACCTTTCTTGGCCACCTGTGGGATATTGCTGAGATTGAACCCCTGGTCACCACAAATGGCCTTGATAAAAACAATGTGTTCACAGTCAGCGTGCATGAGAAATTCGTAGCAAGAGCATAGTTTCCCTGGCACTGGTTGTTGCAGCTTGCGTCGAACACGTGGCCAGCAGCGATCTGCCAGATGACCTTCAATTACAACGCAGTGCTGCGTCAAGTAAAACTCCAACTTGTCCAGATCGAAGTGGCCACCTTGAGAATTCTCTCTTGTGGTGCTTATGCCAGCATTCCTCAAGAACCGCGACAGCACTTCCCCCTCGCTGCAAACCAATCCAGCAATTATATCTGCCGTGCTCTGAGTGACCACCGCGTTT